GCTGTTCCATGTCGTCTTTGGTGCCAACTTGCGGTAGTAGTAACCTGTTTCCTGATATTTAGATTTGCGGTGTTTAGTTCTCCAGCTAAGAGTATTCGATCAAACCCAAGGAGTGGAGGTCGCAGTACTGCTCCAGTCAGTTTACATTTCCGGGACTTAGTAACTAAGAGGGGCCGGTAAATCCCCCAAATCGAGTATTTGTGAGGGATCAACGCCAACATGATTCCGTCATATTGGTTAGTCGGGTGTCTTTCGGTGTTTCAGCTTTGAAATGGCTATTAATATATACAATCACTTCAACTCCTGCCTGGTGTATCCTTTCGCTTCGGAAGTGTCGTGCCTTGCAATCTCACTTCATTGTCCGCAATTTCAGGGGATAGCCATGTTTCAGTTAGGATTATGGTCTTCAGGTCCATCTGAGAACATATATTCCTGATTCCTAGCAGCTTGCACTTTAGTCCTCTTTGGTTGCTATAGAGGCACTTGGTGGTTTCTCTGATAACCTGGTGCAACTCTACAGCAACAGCCGTTGTTGGATTTTCAAATAGGCTGTTCAAATCGAGATTACCAGTTCTGTGGGAATCGGCCTCTGAAGGTTTATGCCTGTGCAGTGCATTCAGTCGGTGAGACCATTATCTTTGTGCCTTATGCCGAGGGTTGTTGATCGAAGTCAAGTCATTTGTGTGAGGTTATTTTAGCCTCCTTGTTGTTGTCTCACAGATCTAGGTCGACTTTCGCAACACTTTATCTGGCTAGGGATATCGTTCTTCGAGCTGTACCGAGCCTCGGCCGTCTCATTCAGATCCTCCAGACTTCTGAAGTTCACAGCCATCAGATATGATGACTTAATGGTCGTGAGATTTGACGGACGAGGCAACCGGAAAATGCTACTTTCCCTGATGGTGCGAAGGCTCAAGCTGATTGATAGCCATCTCCACTGATGCACGTCATGCGCGTGAGCTTCATCTAAGTTACTGCCAACCAGTTCGGGCACGCCATGAATTGCCTTACTGGTCTGCTCTTGGGTGCTGTCTGATGTCCTGGCTGCTGCTCGTACTGACGATGATTCGTCGTGCGTGACTCAGATTCCGGAGGACACCCTAAACGAGGGCCCCTGAGATGTGAGGAGGATATCTTCGGCAAGTTGTGATGAGTATAAGGTTACCCTCATCGGAGGCGGTTTTCCTTTGTGACGTTCTGGCCTTTGAAAAGATGACATCGTTCGGCCGGGGCAGTGCACATTTCGAGGAATTCGCATTACTAATCCCATTGTCCCGTCCCTACATTCTAGGTAGGCTACCCTCCGACACTGCAGCGTTACATAAAATTAGCGAATTTACCCTAACATCCCTGTCACTGATTGGTAACATTTTGCGAGATGTAGTGCGGCGTTTTCCCTTTTCTTACACTCACCCACTGTTCTGTAATGCTAACAAATTCTGGGGGTGTACAACAACCCGCAGTTTTGTTGGTATGTTTGTTCAGGTTATGGGTGCTTTCGTCTCCTGTTTAGTTGGTGCAGTTCTGAGCGATTTAGGTTTACCTGTAGGGATTTGTGGGTTGGTTTTGGTGGGGCCTTAGGCTTGGCTAATTTTTAGTTGCCTCAGTTATTCTGCACTACGGACAGGTATACCAGGACCACGGATAGGGTGTTTGTGTCGAGTGACCCGAATTGTGAACATTGCTTCGAGGTAAGTCATCAAATAACGTTTCGAGCTTTTTAACAACTCTTTCTCAATACTAGGATTTTCGACTGACTACTATGACCGTAATTAATACCTCTACTGGTTTTCCTAGTTGGTATATTGTAAGAAGTGGCAGCAATCTTATTACTTGACACGATGGCTAAGAGATTTAGTTATGTAATTGGAACAGGAAAATACTCGATACAGGAGTTTTGGAAGGAGGAAAATAGTAATATTTAAAAATAACTACGAAAGAATGTAACCTGAAGAAAGGTGTGGTTCTGACTTAGAACGGTTCCATTTGTCTGAATGAGTACTCAGACTGTCAACCGGTGAATGGAGGCAACTTATACATTTTCGGGAATGTTTGACTATCTCAATCTGTTGTGCAAAACTGGATTGTTTCCTGTAAATGGTGGGAGATAAACGAGGTCACGTCAGTTTCGAAGTGCGCGTGTTGAAACTTGTAGACTTCTGACGGCCTTCTGGAAATGGTTATTCGAAATCTTGCAGACATATTCGACCCGATTATGTTCCGAAAACATTTACAAAAATGCGAGTACCGTAAACCTCTTTAGTTATCAACCACTTATCTGCTCTTTTCTTGCACTAGAGAGACGTCTGACCATTGAGCACCACCTTTTCCAGAACAATGCGTGACATTATGTCAATTGTATCTTAAATTAGGACAAATTAGATTCAACACAGTTCATGCACTGAAGTGATCAGACATCAATCAGTGAAAGAGATTTCAAGACAACTGGGAAAATGGTAACACGATCGTATAAAAACTGCTTGGTTGTCCTGAAAATTTGGTCAAATACTTGACGTTCGGTCATTATAGAAGGATTTGGAATTTCAGAAAAATTATACTCTTGATTTGGTGTCAATAGAATTAAATAGGTTTGTTTTGAAGAGAAACAGATGTATCCGGGGATGATCATTAGATAGTGCTATTTGAATGAGATCATTTCAGTACTTCACAATATTGATTCATTTAGGATTCATTGAACTTCGGATTTCATAATAACAGGTTTATGACTACGAAAGTTTTCATGTTTACAAGAAGCCTTAGGAGTGGAACGTTGTCAAGAGCTTCCTTAAAGACGAAGAATGGACCTTATACAAAGAATCCATTATCTGTTGCTGGGTTATGGGCTATCTAGGTAGTCTAGCAGGTATTTTTTGTATGACCAGTTGTCGACAGGTCATGTTGGGAGATCGAAATGGGATTATTTGCCAGTATGGATTGAGTTACTGCCGCCCTAACTATTTTCTCCATCACTACAAGTGCTACTGAGGTCACGTCTATTTGAAAGTAACTCATGACATTTACTGCAGGTCAGGATTTAATCGTAGGAATGAGATTTGTAGTTTTCTCGGCAATAGAATGAGCTGTTGTCTGAGATGCATGGAACAACGTTTATCATATATTTTCCAGCATTCAAGAGGTTCTCGGTATAATTCCTTGGAGAAGCAATATTTGAGGGTGCGTTGGAATTATTTTTCAAAACAATCCCATATTATTCATTTTTGGAAAAGAAGCTGATACTTGTTTAGTAGTTATCTATCCCAGAATGAGACAAAAATTGTGTATTGTTCGTGTACCTGATTGTTTTTAACACATTTATTTAACCGCTTCGCTTTAGAACATTTATGGGTTGGGGAATCATTGGCGAATTCTACAGTACATTTGCCTTGAGTAAGTGCCTATTTTGTGCATAATATGTCCGCCTCCGTGTACTTCTGCTATGGCAGTTGAAGAGTTTTATACCGTCAAAAACCCCACCAACTAATCGACTTTACTTTATAGTCCAACCTAATATAATGACGATTTTTTTCAACAATTAGTTTGACGGGTTTCGTTTACGATTATTCATCTGATCAGCAAATAATACTTATTCTTGGTCTTAATAACCTGGTGTCACAAACAGTGACCCTATAAGTGCGAGTTTTATCTCTTTACCGATATGTTGTAATGAAGTCACAGGTATGATTACTGTCTCATGGTAATAACTTATTAAATCGAACCGGAGACGGAGTTATTTTAAACTTACTTACGTAAAACAGTATTTTGTGATCCGATGTATTTCATTTGTCCAAAGCAGATAAAAGAAATGCAGGATCAATCTGAAGTGCAAAAAATTGGTATCTTGAAAAAAAATTTTTGATGATGTTAACAGTCAACAAGATTCCGATTTTTTTCCACTCTATCGCGATATTTCTTCTGATTTCCGAAACAATTTTAAGCCCAATATCTAGTATGAATGGAATCATGATCCGGATATAAGTTGACCTAATGACTAATTCATTTCAAAAAAATCCCTGTTGCAGTATGAGAAAAGTATGCTAAAAGAATCAAATTCTTCTTGTGTTTAGGATGTTGAAAGTCCTTACAAACCATGAGATTATTAATAAGAAGAAGTAGTAAATGCTCCAAACGCATACAGGCTACCAGGATACACAGTTGAACTTTGAAACACATCCCACCCACTCTCCTAAAAAAAAAGACATAGATCTTATGAATCGAGTGCAGAAACGAGCGATTAAATGCGCGATCAGTCTGCAGTATAGACATTAATAAGATAGGCTCTAGCGATTGGGATCATTATTTCTGATCTCCAGGAGAATCAAAGGTGATCTGATTGCGGCAAACAACTTGTTAAGCATGCCAAACCTCCCCTAAGGGAGAATACTATCGAAACATCGCCACCACGCCCTTCGAGGTAATCCTCGAAAATTGCGAACTCTCAAGTTGGAGCATCCTTTTTCTAATTAAGAGTCGTTGCGACTTGCAATGCTGTCCCAGCCTGGGTGATCACAGCCCCTTAGTGGATAGGTTTAAGAATAGCCTTGATGAACACGTGCTTACATGCGAATTATTATCTCCCTCGTGGACCAGCTGTGTCTGATGTGCATCTTGAGATTTGCTAGTTGTTGTTATTGCCATTTCCTCAAGTCACTGACCTAAACTATCTGGCTTATTATCTCTGTTTTCGCTTCTTTGCTTACATTTCTATTCATTCGTAAAATCTTCACTACGAATTCATAAACTAAGTTGTCCGCTTGTTATTTTTCTCGGAAAAACCCTACTGTCCTGAAACAAGCGCACTCAGGCGAATCAAGTGATATACAAATTCATAAATTACTGCCAACCGACTAGAATTGGGTGTCTGGACTACCAGCATCCGTTGTACGGTGCAAACTATCTGAAGCCGTATCAAAAGAACAAGAAGAGTTCATAAAAAGCAAATGGTTTATACGAGCACGTGAAAAATATTGGATATTGGATATCCGTACTGTTGTCATAACAACCTTTTGTAAATTGTAGCGCATTCGAATCCCAACTCTACCTGATCTATTTCTAATCATCAGTCTCTTTTAATCTCATGGTTTTTTGATTTCTGAATATTGTCAACTGCCTACTCTATTAAATGTAAGTGTATTCCATCTGCCCACTGAGTCGTACGCTTACCTTTTCTTTTGTTCTTTCTTCTTCCAGATAACTTCACTCGCTCCTCACACCTACAGTACTCAAGGTACCTTCCAGTCAAACACCTAAGAGCTAACGTTACAAGTTCGTCAACTTTCATAATGGTACAATCATCATTCATCGATGACGGCTGTTTCATAACAACATTTTAGGGTTTGTTAAGTCTCTTAAGAAGATTAAAGTCGAAACCAGAACAGGAAATAAGGATTCTTCTCCTTGGTCTAGATAATGCAGGAAAGACAACTTTACTGAAACATTTAGCTTCCGAAGACATTTCTCAAACAACACCTACCCAAGTATTCACACAGTTTATCTCATTTTGTCCAGGGGTTTAATATCAAAAGTGTCCAGTCTCAGGGATTTAAACTGAATGTCTGGGATATTGGAGGACAGCGAAAAATTCGCCCATATTGGAAGAACTACTTTGAAAATACAGATATATTGGTATTCACTCGCATTCTCATTAACAGAACTTTAGATTTATGTCATCGACAGTTCAGATAAAAAGCGTTTTGAGGAGACTGGAGAAGTATGTTGCGCTTTTTAAACGTGATTAAACATATATTAAAATGATCATTTTTTTTTTATAAAATTTTATAAAATTTATCAGTCCCTATTTACACTTATTTGCCGGTTATTGTAGAACTTAAAATATGTGTTGTCATTAACTCAAGATTTCTCAGAAAAATGACCAAGAACTGTAGTTTTATAAACATAACTAACCCTGAAAGGTTTTATACTTACTAGATTTTTTCTTATTACCTAGTGACTGATTGAAATTTCTTATTATTATCTATTATACAACCAATTGTCCCAGATTTTGAAAAAGTAAGAGGGCATTTGGTGGTATGTATAATCAATAAAACATTTATTAAGACAAGTATTCCTTAGAAAAGCAATTCACTCAAACTACTTAAGACTCACTTCTTTTGGGTAATCAGGTTTAATTTAATTTTATGAAGAATGAGATGACATGGAACGAAAACCACTGGCTTATGCTCTGGGTAATATCTTACTTTTCAAATCGTATGATGACATGATGTTCACAGCTGTACCGGAACAGGTCAGTAAGCAATTCCCTCATTTGATTAATAGTTAAATAAGAATTTAGTATTGATTCTGGCTTAACTAGTTATTTTGGGACTTACGGTTATGCATATGTATATAGGTTGCTTCAAGATACACAGCCGCGCTCATACTCCTTTACCACTCACTAGCTTCTGACAATAACTCCGCCAGTAGTCCCTTCGGGGCTACTGCCTGTCCAAAAGCCCGGATAAAGGAGGAGCGTTGGAGATGGGGTTGGCGCCCGCGTCCCAACTAAAACTAAATTGCCAAAAAAACGCTAACCAGAAAAAATAATTCAAACCATTTTAACTCTGCCCTGGGAGTTGGAAGAAGAATTATGACGTAGTGTGACGAAAGCCAAGCTCCCTCGGAAGTCACGGGGCCGATGCCTCTTCTGACAACCAGAGCAACCATTTTTTAGGTACATGGGACGTTCGTACATTGTCGGAGACTGGGAGACTATTTCAAATTGCGGCAGAAATGAAAAGATACAACCTCGAGGTGCTCGGCATCAGTGAAACGCATTGGACACAAGTAGGACAACTGAGACTAGCTTCAGGGGAACTGCTGTTATACTCTGGTCATGAAGAGGAAAATGCTTCACTACACAAGGAGTTGCACTGATGCTGTCCAAACATGCACAAAAGGCACTGATAGGATGGGAATCTCATGGACCCAGGATCATTAAAGCATCCTTCAAAACAAAGAAACAGGACATTACAATGAACGTCATCCAATGTTATGCACCTACCAATGACTACAATGACGACGTTAAAGATCAATTCTACGAAAGGCTGCAGTCAATCGTTGACATATGCTCTCCAAAGGATTTGACGATTCTTATGGGAGACCTGAATCCCCAGTTTGGAATGGCCAACACTGGATATGAAGACATCATGGGACAACATGAACTGGGAGAAAGGAACGAAAACAGTGAGAGATTTGCAAACCTATGTGCCTTCAACAAACTGGTCATCGGTGGCACAATATTCCCGCACAAACGCATACACAAAGCCACATGGATTTCACCGGACCACACTACTCAAAACCAAATTGACCATATCTATATCAACAAAACGTTCAGAAAGACCATGGAGGATGTGAGAACCAATAAAGGAGCTGATACAGCTTCAGATCACCACTTGCTGGTCGCCAAAATGAAACTGAAACCAAAAAAGGCACTGGACAACGGGGCAGACAATATCACACAAGTTTAATACGGCCTTTCTTCGGGATACTGTAAAACTCAACAAATTCAAGACAGCCTTCACCAATAGGTTCCAGGCCTTTCAGGATCTACTTAATGGAGAGGAAGCAATTTTGGAGAACAATTGGAAAGGGATTAGAGAGGCAATCAGGAAGAAGTGGTAGAAGTGGATAGGACACACACTACGAAAAGCACCCAATGGCGTCACGAGACAAGCCCTCACATGGAACCCTCAATGCAAAAGGAAAAGAGAAAGGCCAAAGAACACACTACGTCGAGAAATAGAGAAAGATATGAGAGGAATGAACAAACATTGGACTGAACTGGAGAGGGAAGCCCAGGACAGAGTTGGTTGAAAAAAACTGGTGAGCGGCCTATGCTTGCTCCATTGCGGGTAACAGGCGTAAGTAAGTAAGTAAGCAAGTAAGCCTCTGACAATCGGTCATTATACTCTGACTGTGATGTTTAAAGAAACTTATCAGTAGTGTTTTTTGGTTCTACCATATCAAGGAGTTTTTCAGTCAGGTAAATTAGCTTGAGTCACTCACTGTAAAGTAATTTATAATCACCACTAATGATGATCACAAACCAATAGAAGCAGTGTATAATCCCAGAAAATTATAGGCTGAAATTTAACAGCGATGACAGAAAAATTTGTTTTTAATATTTCACATTTTGAGGAAATATTAACCATTAAATCGTGTGGAATACAGACAAACTGATATAGCTCTTTAAAAATATATTCACATCGATAAAACTGTCCACCTAAATAAAGCCATATCTTTTATCGTGATTGGTTGTGATACTCCTTGGCGTTTGAAGCTGCAGTAGATGAAAACGGTTTCGATTCTGTGTAGTCTACAAGCTGAAGACCAAATATCTTGATGACTTACTTACTACCTTACTTACTTACTTACTTACTTACTTGCTTACTGACTTACTTACTTACTTACTTACCTACTTACTTGCTTACCTACTTACTTACTTACTTACTTACTTACTTACTTATGCACTTACTTACTTACTTACTTACTTACTTACTTACTTACTTACTTACTTACTTACTTATGCACTTACTTACTTACTTACTTACTTACTTATGCACTTACTTACTTACTTATGCACTTACTTACTTACTTACTTACTTACTTACTTACTTACTTACTTACTTACTTACTTACCTACCTACCTACCTACTTACTTACTTACCTACTTACTCACTTACTTACTTACTTACCTACTTACTTACTTACTCACTTACTCACTTACTTACTTACGCTTATCACGCCTAATGTAGCATAGGCCACCGATCAGCGAATTAATTTTCCAGTTAGCGCTTTTTTACTTAACGAGTTCAGATTTCCTCTTTTGTGTCGCTGGGTCTGAGACCAGCAATTAATCCTAGAAGGGCTACAGATGGAGTTTCATCAAGGTGTGCCCAATTTATATTTGACCCCTTACACAGGCACATTTTTTTAATGACCATTTAGAGTAATAGATCTTACCATGCATAGCTAATCCAACGACATCGTGAATTTTCTAGATAACTATATCCTAAAAATCATTAACAGTAAGGTTATAAACTTGTCTCTATTGCGTGAATAAAAATTCAATATCAGACCATTATAAAGAATCGAAGCTTGATATATAATGTCATAGAATAGGATAACTTTTAAGCTGTTTTCGCGTGTCAAATTTAGTTACAACTGTACTTACTCTATAAGGCTTATTTTCCTAAATGTATTTCTTCGTTAATAGGAACTGTTGGAACTTTTATCAGAAGATAAATTAGCTGGAGTTCCTTTGATTGTGTTTGCCAATAAACAGGATTTACTCACTGCTGAACCAGCAAATAAAATATCAGATGGACTTGGACTATTAACTATTCGGGATAGACCATGGCAAATTCAAGGTTGTTCAGCTCTAACTGGCAATGGTATACAAGTAAGCTTAAATATCTGGGTTTTTTTTTTGTGTGTGTGTGTGGGATGAGTATATAATATTTGTGAAAAAACTTTTTTTATCGGAATTCATGGTCTATAGTGTCCAAAAGTTACATTTTTATATATGTATTAATACAGATTTTTGGATTTAAAGTCTAAACTAGTGTGGCAGATACCTCTCATGATGTGGTTTATATATAATATGCAAGGGAGTACCGCGTAGATGTTATTGTCTGAAAGAAAAGTATTAGGCTGTTGAGGACTTTAGATCCTCAGAACTTGCTTGATAAATGTCTTAATTTTGCATTTTTATATTTCCGAGCATGCGCTGATCAGTTGACCTTGAGATCATATTTCCCACCAGCAAAATCCTTGGCTGTGGTTGGTTACTGTGTTATTTTAGTGTGCTATTTTTGTGACTGTTCCAGGGACGTTTCTGTGATATATACAAATGAACACAATTTGTGTACTTGGATTCATTGTGCGCTGGCTGGGTGTGTTTATAGAATACACTTTCTACACTATATCAAGACTTCTTGTTAGCTGTTTGGGGTCAACGGATCAGAGTAGCCTACCTAGACGCTGGTTCATTGTCCCGTTCTCGTTTATAGACTAAGGTGAATCCGTAATAGTTCGAAGCATATCTAGTGACGAGCCTTACACAGACCTGAATGTTTGACATGATCATAGTGTTTTGAATACTAGAAGACATTTACAAGAAGAAGACGGCCAATAAATAATTTGCTTGTTTTTCATACGGAAATCTAAATCTAAAAGTGTGCACACTTTTTTGTGTGAACTGTGCCCTCTTAAAATCCACTGTTATTCCTTCTGACTGAATTCGACGTCTTCGTCCATTAAACTGGTTGCGTTTTCTCGCAAGACAAAAATAATCAGACTATTTGAGATCAAAGAAGTTGTGACATCCGTGGAACGATTTCCAACCATATCATTCAAATTATTCAACCACCAGTTACGATTGTCTCGCATACATCAACGAAGCAGTCTACACCTACTAACATAGTTTAATCTAATTTCCAATTGGGGTGCGAGCTACTTATAAGTAGTATATGACGTGAGTGTCAACGTAATGTCTGGCAACAGAAGATGGGAAAAGATCAAGAAAGGAAGAGTTAGAAAACAATGGAATTTGTATGAAACGCATGAATAGTGAGTGACAATGGATTGATGTTTTGCAACAGGAACAGTCCAATTCGATATGATGGACTGATGTTTTGCAAATTTACGGTATGGTTTTCCGATTTCACTGAGTAACTGTGTAATTTTCGTTAAATACAATTCGGTTGCCCCACCTGCATTCTCGGTTAACTACACAATGACTTCATGAATTCTGTGCCATGTTTTTGGTTTGACAAGTGTCTCTATAAGAGATTCTTTCCAACCGAACTCTTACACTAGGCACAGCATCATAGCCTATTGAAGTATTCAGTCAGTGGTTGTGAGTATACATAGTACACATCCCCCAAACACCTCAAATGATAAAAAACTCACTACTTCCTGATTTCTATTTGGCATCAGATAGCTAGAAATCACATGTATATACACATCTATGAATTGATTTTTCATTCCATAATAAAACCAACTTATTTTATTCTATTTGACAATGAAAATTCTATGTGTAACTTACCAATCTTCACAACCCCCGGCAATGAAAATTAACTGTGCTCACTAGTGACTAGCTTCGTGAGGAATCTTCTCCGAGTTCTAGTGGTAGGAAGACGTGACCAGTGAAGTTCAACCTGTTCGGGTGTAGGCAGTGTCTACCGAAGACTGTGTATGAGGTTGCGCAACTCCGTGAATTTGATCAAGTTAGACATTAACACTGTTAGATACCGGCTCAGTGGTCTGACGGTTAGGGCGTTCGCGCACAATACCGAAGGTCCTGCGTTCGAATCCTTTGGGATGCAGGAGTCGTGGATGCGCGCTGCCGAGGAGTCCCATACCAGGACGAAACGGCCGTCCAGTGCTTCCAGGTTTCTAATGGTCGTCTAACATTGATCGATTCATGGTTTCAAAAACGTGGAAATCCCATTATCAATGATCAATATCTTTTCTCTTTTTGCAATGGGATAAAAAATATTTATTACCTTGCCTTCTTTATTATATTGTTTAAATAGATTTTTACCAAAAATGCACAAAATTCAAATTTAAAATATAATATAGAATAACATTCTATTGACAAATAAAAAAATTAAATTGACAGTGGTGTGTTTAATTTAATGTTTCATGATTAGAATGGCAGTAATTTTGGCGCTTCATTTCAAAACACACGCACGCACGCACTCACACACAATGAATTCGTGATGGGATTAGATTTTTCATTAGGAAAAAAAAATTCGTATTGATTCGTGCGCTATTCATTATTCATTAGTTATTTAGATTTTTTTGACTAGTTTCATCGTGGTAACGCCCTGTAAAGTTTAATTATTGATGAATAATTATTATTTTCATGATAAATTTCTCGATTTATTTTTTTCGTTATTTAACTTACCTACTTACTTACTTACTTGCTTACTTACTTACTTACTTACTTACTTACTCACTTACTTGCTTACTTACTTACTTACTTACTTAGGCACTTACTTACTTACTTACTTACTTACTTACTTACTTACTTACTTACGCATGTTACCCCTAATGAAGCACAGGCCGTGGACCGGTGAATATTTTTTCTGGTTAATGTTTTTTTCCAAGCCAGTTGGATTGGGTAGCTAATCCCCCATGCCCAACCCTCCTGCTTTATCTGCCACGCTTGGAACCAGCATTAAAGTATATTTATTTTGTTCCGAAATAATTAACGGTTTTGACTGATTCGTTAGAATCAACAGTTTGAATTTTTGAAAAGTTATTAATTAGTTTAGTGTTTACGAAAATATATTTGGAAATGTTAGGTATGTTGAAATCATGAACGAATCATTGTCTGGCCACGATTGAAAACCTAGCACTGGACTGAAGTTTCATTCTAGTATGGGACTCATCAGCAGTGCTCACCAATATCTCTTGTTACTCACACAGGATTCGAAACAAGGACCCTTGATCTTGCACACAGATAACCTCCTCTGGACCACTGATTGTCTTCGATAGGTGACTGCCTCACATCCGACAGGGTAGAACCCCATTGATCACATTTGTGTTACCAATTGTAGTCTAACTTATACCATGATTCAGAAATTTCACATGAAATGCAATAATCTTAAAACAAGAGAACAGTCTCATGACCTCCAAAAACAAAACTCGGCTTTCATCAATGAGACGTCATAATTCTTCTGAATGTGAAGACCTAACTCTCAGTGCAGAGTTATTAAAATGGCTTGAATTATTTTCTTCGGTTAGCGTTTTGTTCAGCGAATTAGTTTTCTACCGGATGGGGGTAGCTAATCCCTAAAGCGAACCGTCATCCTTCATCCACCTACCTGGCTTGGGACTGGCTGAAGGCCTCCAGGTGGAGTTGTTTTCCAATTCAGAACTTGTCAAGTTCAATTATTCCAAGTTCATTTGTTACTTGTCTGTCCCATAAATTAACGATTTAACTTTTTTTTTTCATTTTAAAATTCTCTACGCTTATAAGTAGTATAATGTTTATTATTTACATTTTTCTAAAATTTTAATTTTTAGGAAGGAATAGAATGGGTCATTAAATCTGTGAATAGTCGTTTAAAAATGAAATAGACATTTGTATGTATGTATGTATGTATGTATGTGTATATATAGTTAAACAAATTTGAAATGAATCGCTGTTTTAAACGTTTTCTCTTTATTGATTATTGAACAAGTTTTGTTTAAAATGATAATTAATTGTACATAAATAATAAAGAACTATACCATTGATTCATAATTCATATTGAATAGGCAATACGACGATTGATTTTATCCAGTCAACTACTATTTATTAGACTATGATGACAAATAAAGCCTAAAGAAGCTCTTTGCATTATTATTTGATTTTGGCTTGTCTGTTTACGTTCAAGCATTTTCAAACACACACACACACACAGACTTACTTACTTACTTACTTACTTACGCTTGTTACCCCCAATGGAGCATAGGCTGCCAACCAGTTTTCTTCAACCAACTCTGTCCTGGGCTTCCTTTTCTAATTCTGTCCAATTTTTGTTCATTCTTCTCATGTATTTCTCTATTTCTCGGCGTAATCTGTCCCTTGGCCTTCCTCTTTACCTTTGTATGCCTTGAGGGTTCCATGCGAGGGCTTGTCTTGTGACGCCGTTGCGTGCTTTCCGCAATGTGTGTCCTATCCACTTCCACTGCTTCTTCCTGATTTCCTCCTCCACCAGAGGAATCTGGTTTATTGTCTCCCACAGTAGGTTGTTGCTGATGGTGTCTGGCCAACGAATACGAAGTATTTTGCGCATATTAATAGATATGAGAAATAAATAAATGGAGGACACTTCACAAATAAAGATACTTTTTTCTTTATATTTCTGTGCTCAAACGGGTTATTCATTTGAACCCCACTACATAAAATAACACATGGTACCAATGACCAACAAAACATGTCACTGTAAATATGGTTTGAAGCACCACTGTTGTAAACGATTCTGACCGATGTCGCATAAACTGACGGACCGACCACTGATTGCGATGATCTTACTACAACAGTATGATTCGGGATAGCAGTCAACGACTATACGGACTGATTCCATATTTCGGTTTGACAGCGAATAGTTTTATTTTTTATGGTGGCCAATGTATCACCACTAGTTTCGTGACGGTCGGTATCCAACGTGTTCGTAGAACTGCGTAATTTGCTCGTCTAGACAATCGTTTCTAAATAACGCCTGACGGTTTATAAACCAGGAGACGAATACGAAGTGTTGGCACACAACAACTGGACTAGCAGACCACAAGCACACAGAGCGAATCGTCAAATTGGCGAATTAATAAGAAAATGACCAAGTCATTGAAACATTTAAGAGTTTGACATTAAAGCTAATAGGATGAATATTCGCGTATGCTGTAAGCACTGTTCAGGCATATCAGCTCATACAAACCAGACAATAGTAAAAGCTTATGGTACATGTGGGTTGTTGCTATACAAATGGCTTGGTTAAATAAGTTAATCGAAAGGCTTAACCAAATTAAATATGAGCGAACTCAAGTTACAGATAATGCGTATTTATGCATTTTGGTCGAATAGGAAACAGCATCGAATTCTGTGACATTGACAGTTAAGACGACCAATCGGAAGCAACATTTGAAGTGACATTCATAGTCAGGACAACCAATAAGAAGTAACATTGGAGCACATGACAATGATATCTAGGACGACGATAAAATTGACCAGTATGAATTAACCAATAGGAATTGACCAATAATTCTCTTAGAATTTTGGATGAATATCCTAACAGTTGTTGAATAAACAAACAATATCGTCTTATTTTGAGGTAACTGCTTAAAATATCTAGCTATCAGTGTTCTTATTTATGTCCTATAATCCTATTACTGGTAGGCCTTATTAATGCCAGCTGTGTTTTTTATTCACCAAAACGACATCATGCTAGAGAAATTATTTTAGCAGCAATATAAAAAACAGTTATTCGTGTGGTTATGGCCAGATCCAGTTAGGAAATTCATCATAGAGATTTATGGAGATTGTTGAGTTTCATTGAAATCATGAATCAGTGATTATCAGACCACCATTAGTACCCTGAAATATTGGAGGACTGTTTCGTCCTCTTTTGGGACTCTTCAGCAGTGTGCATCCACGAACCTTACACACCAGAATCTAACCAAGGAACTTTGGTCTCGTGCACAAACGCCTAAATTCTAAACCACTAAGCTGGCCGGAATTCAGAAGTGTTGATGTCTAACTTGACTCAATCCTTGATATTACGCTACATCACTGATTGTCTTCGGTAGGTAACTGCTCAAGTATGATTACGGAAATCAGTAGGAAATGATTTAATTCACCTCATACTCGATCATTCGTAAGTATGGGAGTCGGATTAAGGGGCCACTAAAGTGGTGAATCTTGCTATGAATTTAACTCAGCCTGTTTTATTTTAATCACAATGTCACTTTTCAAACAACTGAAGATGATTTCTTACACAATAAATATGGTAAATTTAGTCAGTATATATATATACATAAGTATTTAACTCCGACTGAAGTCGCTCTGGAGCTAATTTCGGTCTCAAGCACGGAAAAAGGAGGAGAGTTGGGTATGGGGGTTAGTGATCCCGTCCCGTAGACAGATAACTCGCCAAAAAGTCGCTAAACAGGAAAAATCATTCAAATTATTACACATTTGAAATCATCAATTGATCATTGCTAGACAACCACCATTAGAAACCTGGAAGCACTTGACGGCCGTTTCGTCCTGGTATGGGACTCATCAGCAGTGAGCATCCACGACTCCTGCACCTCGCAGGATTCAAACCCGGGACCACTGGGCCGGCATCCAACGATGTTAATGTCTAGCTCTGATTGATCTACGGATTTTGCGCGACCTCACCCATTTGTCTTTGGTAGTTACTGTTTACACCCGACAGGGTTGAACTTCATTGGTCACGTCTTCTCAGCTAGAACTCCGAGAATTTCCTCACGAAGCTAGTCAATAATGAGCACTGTTACGATATATTGTGGGCAGAGTTTTGGAGGTTTTGTGTTTTTACACATTTGAAATCATCAAACCGTCATTGTTAGACCACTCCATTAGACATTTAAATTATGCCTTGGGAGTTAGAAGGTTTACACTTGGATATATTTCAGTGTTGATATATAGTTGTGAGGTAACCATAAATTGGAGTTTTATGATAGCTAAAACAAGTTAGGACAGAGATATCCAAAGCACAATCATATTAATTGAATATTTTCGAGATTCTATCTACACTACCTATTAGTAACTAGTAGTTAATATTATCGTTATGAATATAATCCGTTTGCATAATGTTTGCATATCCAAACATCAGATTTTCTGTTTACCAAAAGCAGTTAATGAAAAACATGTATTGATGTTTCGTGTTGTTTGACATTTGGCATAAAAAAACGTAACAGTTATTTTAAGCGGATTGATTCTGCTTTTATATAACTTCAGTTCACATAATCAAACGTCAACCACCGCCTTACTTTACAATCGAGATTTTTAAGTCATCTGATTTCGGTCTTACAAAATAACCAAGTTCAATTGAGTTCAGGTTATTGAATAGTTTTGTAGTTCTTTAACCTTTTTTGGGGGACGTTAGATCCCCTGAAGTCACTCGATAAAGGCCCCAATTTTGGATTTTATGTTTCGTGCATGGACTGATCAGTTGACCTTGAGATAACATTTCCCACTAGGAAAATCCTTGACTGTCATTGGTTAATGGATTATTTTAGTACTCTACTTTTGTGGCTATCCCAAAGACGTTTCTATCATGTATTAAATAAACTCGATTTTTGTACTTGTCGACCTTGTATTTTCTGGAAGCATGTAGAATACACTTTCTATGCCATATCGGATTAGAGTAACCTATCGTGTCACATGATCATTTGTCTCGTTATCGTTTACCGACTAAGGTGAACTCGTAATAATTTTAAGCATATCAATTGTGATGAGCATAACAAAACTTAATTCTAGAAAGTTATAACGGACCACATCAATTATGAAGAATGAGTTAAGTGAACGAATTCTCATCATTTTCAACTAACTAGTAATCAAAATTACTTGAAATAATTATACCACTCAGAATTTCAACAAACTGATAAGTTCGTCACTTAGTATGCTTGAGGCTATTACGAGTTTACCTTAGTCGATAAACGCGAACGAGACCAGCGTCCAGGTAGGATACCTTGAATCCCCAGGCTGAAGAAAAAAGGCTTTGTAAGCGTAGAAAGTATATTCTACAAACACCCAGCAATCACAGTACAATCAAGCATACAACTCTCGTTTATTTATACAACATAGAAACGTCCTTGAGACAGTTAAGAAAATAGCACACTCAAATACACAGCAGCCAATCACAGCCATGGATTTTCCTGGTGGGAATTGAAATCTCAAGGTCAACTGATCATCTAATTGCTGGCAAACGTGAAAACCAAAATAAGGCATTTATCAAGCGAATTTTGGGGATCTAACATCCCCAACACAAACTATCACAATTAAATGATTCGTTGACAATGAATAAACGAGATAAATAATTAACGCGACGGAAATGGAGAAAAATAATATGATGATATAGAGTAACTTACATAAAAACAAAATTTTCTACCGGCTGTGTTAGGTTCTTACACTGACCATTATGTACAGAAGACGTTTTGGGAACTAGTATGTAAACAAGGATGTGAAACTGATGCACATATGTTTTAATCAACTAGCCAGGAGAGAAGACGATGAACTTGAGACCCAACAATGATCCCTAATTCAATAGGATTATTATATATTTCAGAGATTCACTTACAAACATATACAAACTAGATCACACAGAAAACCAACGGAGTGTGCCTAAATAATCGGCTTTTTAAATGTCACAAAAATAGTTCATAAAGTTCTACCTGATGGTTGAATTGGCTCTCAAAATATCTTGCCCTTTTGAAAATCATTGTTGTTAATATCAGAGTTATAAGGGTTCATTTTATTCCTGATCGAGTTTCTTTGAATTCATTGTAATCTGCTTAAGGTTGGCTCCAGATGATTAAATGTGGTTAACGTGACTTAAGTACTTCAGACTAACAACTCTGACTTCGGAGATGACCTTCAGTCTACTAGCCTGGATAATTCTATGTAACTAATATAACATAGCCAGGGT